AAAGTTATATTAATTCGCCTAACGCTTCTACCTTATAATAACAGCAAGCAAGCCTTGCCCAAGTACCTTTGCGAACCTGGTCGAATCTCGATTAGGGCATCAAACAGATCACGTGCATCCAGCAGTGTCAGTCCATCCGCTTGTAGGCGCTTGGAGACCGACTCGACGTCGCGAAGGCTCGCGAGGAGCGTAGTCAGCTTGCGACGCGTAGCTCGGGTAGGTAGAAAGTCGCCAATGTCCTCTTCATCCGCCGATATAAGCACTGGCAAGCGGACATAACGCTCGATCATGGAGAAGATGGATGACCAGCGTGTGTCTTGGCGCAGCACATGCGACAATGGCGTTTTGGTCCTATAATTATATTCGGGATTCCGATAATTACAATAAAGTAGTAAAAACAGGAGTAGTATATAAAAAATACATTTGTTGAGCCGCTTGCTTCACCGTCCGCAACTTGCGCATTAGCCGCTGCACTTCCTCGAGAATGATGTCGTAGGGCTTCAAATACTCACGCATGGCAAGATTTAGGCGGTGACTGGCACGACCAACGAGCGGGACGCGAAGCAAGTTTGCGAGTCGCTTGCTGACTGCGCAATTGTCGCCGGCCAAAAACTGGCCGACATCGATAGACTTACCGAAGAACGGGAGAGAGCGCGAGATTGCCGTCATATGGCCGTCAGCATTGAGATGGTCATCTGGCTCATCCATCATTGGGGCTAGTGACAGAAGTGGGTACTCAGGACGGCCGTCAGCCGTCTCGTAGCAGTCGTAGACAGCCAAGCAGTGCTCCGTACCGTGCGTTCAGCCGTCGCTGATTAGGCCAAATTTGGCTGGCACTTCGCCGATTTTTGTCTCCACAGCCTTCGTTAGAGACTCCATCAAGTGGTCACCGAAATTGGGTTCAAATTGGCGTACCTAAACATCAGGTACATATATTAGTCGTTGATTACGACACAAAAATAGTAACAAAATTACGTATTGACGGGTTTCCTTGGACTTACAGAGAGCGGTAGGTTGCCTGTCACCACCCACCGCACCCATGCGAAGCGGTTCGTCGCTTTCTGACTTACTCACGGCAGCAGTGTTTCGCTTGCTGCGACGATAGTGTCGCGCATATCGCTTTCGAAGTTAGGATGCTTGGTCCGGACATTTGACACCAAATTGATGTACCCTATGCTTGCGGCACTTGCCGCAGGCTTTACACGCAAATAAACCGGTCGGCTCACCTCCTCCATCGGAGGCACGGCTTAAAAGGGAAGAGAGCAACTCTGCCGTGGGGGTGAAGGTAGGCTGAAGCTCGGGGCCGCGCCAAGAAAAATTGTCAGACATGGCGTTGGGGAAGGAGAGGAGTTGGAGTTTGAGTTGAGTGTGCCTTTTTAAAAGTGAGCTGTTCAGACTGCGCTTAGCTAAATGAATTGGCTCTGAAAATTTACAGCTTGGTTGGACCTCAAGAGGTCCGTGAAATTAATTACTTAGTTTTGCGAAATGGTAACAAAAATAACGGCTGAGCGTACAACATGGACGAAGCTGCATTTTTTTTCAAGGCGACGCCAGGCGCTAGCATATGCCTAAAAGCAGCTCCATCGCGGAAAAAGAGAAAGGATCGCATGACAATTGTGGTGGCTACTAACAGCTCGGGTACGGACAAGCTCCCGCTTCTCTTTCTTGGGAAAGCCCAGCGGCCTCGGTGGTTACCCAAGAAGCCTGCAGATGCGGAATACCGAGGGACCAGCAAAGGGTGGATGACGGTGCCTGTCTTTCAAGACTGGCTGAAAGAGCTGGACCGACGGATGGGGCACGCCGGAAGGAAGATTCTTCTTCTACTTGACAATGCACCCGTTCATATTGCTCCAGAGACTGACCCAGACAACGTTGAGCTTCTGTTCCTGCCACCTAACACGACGGCAGCCATTCAACCGATGGATCAGGGCGTTATTGCGTGGGTGAAGCGGCGCGTGCTAAACGATTTGGGGGAGGAAGCAGTGTGGAAACTGTGCTGTGAAGAAGATCCTTTTACGATTGAAACATCAGACGCTGTCATGTGGTGCAATGATGCCTGGAATGCCTTAGACGCCGACACGATCAAGGCGTGCTGGAGGCACGCAGGTTTGTACGTGGATAGAACCCAGATTGGTGACATTATTAACTAAAATAAGTACATAATCACATATTTTACATTTTATGCCCTCCCATCCGAAAATACCGCCAATAATCAGTATATATCAGGCGTTCCTTATTGACGCCCCATTCTGTACTTCCTATTTTTGTATCCCACACGATAGGCTGTCAACATTTCAACAATAATGCTGCGCAGCCTGAGCGCACTGCGGGACCGCGCTCCAGCTGCTCGTGCCCGGCAATTCGCAAGCATATCGGCTTCTACAAAACTTGGCCAAAATGGCATCGGTGTATATGAACTCGACACCATCTACGCGCTGTCTTCTGCGTCAGGGAAGGCTGGCGTAGCTGTCATCCGAATTTCCGGAGACCATGCGGACTCGTGTCTGCAGCAATTGAGCAAGTCTACGACACTACCGCGGCCGCGAGTGTGCGTGCAATTGGCTAGCAGCAGTTTTAGTATGGACGAGTGTTTTCATTCTGACACCTGAGTGAATTATAGCGCAGCGTTGAGGAAGCTTTACCACCCCAAGACTAAGGAGCATCTGGATGACGCGTTGGTCCTGCGGTTCCCACACCCGAACAGGTGACAAAAACTAATAGATTATGGCTGTATATGAGAGACTGATTTAGGCTTGAATTGTTGATTGGGTGGTGGTAGTTTTACGGGTGAAGACATAGTAGAGCTGCATACCCATGGAAGCGTAGCCGTGGTCTCGGGTGTCTTGGAAGCGCTGAGTCACGTGCCGGTGAATATTCGGCTAATTCGAGTGTGTTTGACACTACTTGGAGGGCTAACGTTTGGGTGCTGTAGCATTGCCGTGCGGCTGAATCGGGCGAGTTCACAGAACGAGCGTTTGACAACAACAAGATCGATTTGGTGCAGGTGGAAGGGCTGGCGGATTTATTAAGTGCTGAGACGGAAGCACAGCGCAGTCCAGCTCTTCGTCAGCTTTCAGGTGACATTGGCGAGATTTACGAAAGCTGGCGTGACAGTCTTGTCAAGTGTCTGGCCTACACGGAAGCCATGATCGATTTTGGAGACGACGAAGACGATGTCACAGATGCTGCCTATGAATCTGCAGTGAATCGGTATGGGCGACACGTAAAGTGTGTAAATGCTTGCCAATGCTCATTTATTATTGTCCATACAGGGTTCGAGTGTTGGCAGATTTCATTCCGAGGCGGAGTGTCAGACGGCAGAAGAGGAGAAATCCTGCCGCCAATTGGGCGTGTTCTCACCCCGCAAGACTGAATCTACACATGAACCTCCCAGTAGCTATCCTGGGCCCACCCAATGCTGGTAAGAGCAGCTTGTTAAATATTCTAGCACGACGACCTGCGGCGATTGTATCGTCCATTGCTGGAACCACGCGAGATGTGGTGCAAGTGCCCTTGAACATCGCCGGATATCCTGTCATTGTTAGCGACACCGCTGGACTTCGCGAAACGGAGGATATTGTCGAGAAAGAAGGCGTCTTAAGAGCCCAACAATGTGCTAGTGACGCAGATATTTGTGTGGTCATGATGGACATACAGGTACGCTATTAGAGCCACATATCTTGTCACTTGTAAATGTCTTATCCTGGTCCTTGTACAGAATGCTGGACTACTTCACAGTGGCGAATACCAGACATATCTGCAGGATGGTGCTGTAGCTGTGCTGAACAAGAGCGATCAAGTAGTTGAGTCTGAGATTGCTGCCGTACTGGAGACCTTTGACTCGAAGCAGCGAGACCAGCTTCTTGTTGTTTCCTGTGTAGAGGGGAATAACATCGACGTCTTTGTCGACAAACTTGCAAATGCGGTGAAGGACAAGTACGCATAAATGTCAGGGATGTACTTTTAAAGTTGGTATTAACGTTTGACTGTCAGGCTGGAGGTGTCAGCTGGGGACTCTGCGCTGATTACACGAGAGCGTCACCGACAGAATCTCGTCGAGTGTCTCTCGTGCTTAGATCGATTTCTAGCTGACCCGTATCAGAGCGAGATTGCAGCTGAGGACCTTCGTCAAGCTGTTATGGCGATTGGCCGCATCTTGGGACGGATCGACGTTGAAGATGTACTGGACGTACTGTTCGCCGACTTTTGCATCGGCAAATAAAGCGACACCTCCTTTGAAGAGACGCCAACTTGTAATTACTTGGCTTAGCTTTAAGAGATGATTGAGTTCACGGCGTGGGAAGTCTATGCATACGAAGATAGCTGCTCTATCAACAGCGCTTCAAGAGGAGCTGGCCACACTCCGAGGGCGTCTGAGTCCCGACAAGATGTACAGTCACTGTACACTAGCAACCGAATCGATAGAGTGGTTCTCGCTGAGCATTTGCCACCAGTAAGCATCGAAATTCTACATTGTTGTTTCGTCGGTTTAATCCTGTTCTTCTCCAGATTTCTGATAAAGCCCTCGCCTTCGAAAGCTACCATATTCATCCCAACAAGGGAATTTTTGGAGGCAGAGTTAGTGAGCAAGATATTGTTTGCCATTGATCCACATCTTATTGCTTGCTGTCCGCTTACAGCATGATGGTGCCATTATGCATTGGCCTATCTTGCAGTCACAAAGTTTAACAACTCCATGTGTACGCTAACGTATTTTGACCTTATCGATAATTCTAGACATGTACTTACTGATGCATTATCCAAAGGCAAACACAATGCGTGGACACACAGGAGCAGTACTCACGCTTGACTTTGCATCAGATTTGGGACCCGGAGGTCTGCTCTTCTCGGGTTCAGCTGATCGATCTATCAAGATTTGGGATCCGTGGAGTGGTAACGGGACTCCATTACCCACAAAAAGTAGCCATACCTGCGTGCAAACTCTCACCGAACATTGCGGTAGTGTCGTTTGTGTGCAAATCCTAGCACAGCAGAACCATGGCCTCGTCAGCTGTAGCTTGGATCGAACCGTGAAAACGTGGTATCCCGCAGAAGGCCGTGCATTGTTGCTGTACCCATGGTTTCTGCCAGCTCAGTCAATCTCACAACCAGGAAGTAGCTGGCCCTCCGCGCTTTGTATTCGCTCTGGCACACTTTTTGTTGGAGATTCAGCTGGAGGGATTTCTGTGTACTCGCATTCTTCCAGCAATAACCACGCGATAGTATCAGAAACCATTCTAGATTTGGTGGACGACAAATATCAAAGCGACCAAACCGATACCAGGTTCCAGTTCGGCTTGAAGCGAAAGTTTTCGCACTTCCATTCGCTTGGGATCTCGAGACTGGAGCTGGTCGCTGACAATTGCTTCGTTGTATCCCTGGGATACGACGAGAAGGCTCAGGTCATCGACGCGATATCTGGAGCGCTTTCGGCCACAATCCGCAGTGCCAGCGGCGCGAGGTTTCTCTCGTGCTCTTGGGACGAACAAGATCAAGTTTTACTTCTCGGAGATGTGGCAGGTTGTGTTCACTTGTGGACTATATTTGAAGACAAGTTGATTGGTAAAAGGCAAATAGTATCAATGACGCCGTTGGCGATTGTGGGAATGTACTCCCTGTCGGGGACTTTAGCCGGCGAATTTTTACTTACCGGACTGGCAAATGGCGTGAAGCAGTGGCTCTGCAACCGCAACGTTGGTTATGTAAACTGTAGCGGCCACTCGGATGCAATTGTCGGGATTGTGGTGGTCGAGAATGATGTCGAATCTTTTGTTAGCAATGAAGACGACCCAGCGACACAGTGTGATAAAATTGCTGCTGTCGAATCAGGAAAAACCTGTCAGTTTTTTAGTGCTTCATTGGATGGATCAATTCGCTGTTGGGATTCCTACGAAATGAAGGAGACGTTTAAATTCGAAGAGAGAGACTCGGAAATTACCTGCATGATCGCATCAAAGCAGTTCCATAAGATATTCACAGGACACGAAGGTGGGTTTGTCAAAGTGTGGAGCATATACGCTGGCGAAATGTCAACGTTAGCACTGGAAGAAAATAGCTCGGTCACATGTCTAGCAGGTAAGAGTAGCATTCACAAGTAAAAAAAATATGCTGACGGAATGGCTGGAATTTGCAGCGGGCATTGTTCGAGATCAGGAGGTTTTGCTCGCGGGAAGTGCCGCCGGGTGTGTTTCGATGTGGGAAGTCAATCATGATGGCTTTGCACGAGCTGTACCCTTTCAGCCAATACTTTGGTCGGAGAAACAAGGAGAGGTTACCTCAATTCTCTTTTGCAAGGGTAGCTTTCTAGCTCAAGAAGGACAAGAGTTTGTCGTGGTTGGCTATTTAACAGGCCAGATTGTAGTACGTACCAGCATCGGTTGTGGAAAGACACCAACTCATGTATTCACTGTGCTTCACTACCATTACAGATCTGGAGCTTTGCAAAGAAGGCTGTTGTGTGTTCATTTAGGGCCCATAGTGACGCAGTATGCAGCTTAACTCTGCACGGTTGTTTCCTATTCTCGGGCTCCGATGATACTCTTCTTCGCATGTGGAATACGTTCAATCTGCCAGAAACCTACGAGCTTGGTGTGCTGCGGCCACCATCTTCGTCCTCGTCGTCTGGTTCGGGATCTCCCATCGTGTGCTTGGACGTAATGCCTTTTCTTGGACTTGTACTCAGTGCAGCAGCCGATGGAACACTGCTCGTTTGGGACTACACGGCGTTTGAAGATGAAAACGCGTTCGACGCGTACGGCAAAATCGTGTTTTGGGCCAAGTAGGTAGCACTTGTGATATATTCACTATGATTATCTATTCATTAATTACTGTGCTGCTTCTGTAGGGTGGATGGCTGCGTAAAGTGTCTTCAGTGCTGGCCAGACCGAAGAGCTATGATATGTGGGACTTCTGAAGGTAAACTTATTGTATTCGATCTACCATCAGAGGTAAGCTGTTCTCTCTTAGTCTCCGCATTTGCTACAGCTTACCAAGTTCCGATCCTATTCTCCCCCAGAGCTCACAGAATGCCTCGCGTAGCTAAACTTCTATTCTACAACTTCAATAATATATTTAAGTTGCACAATCTCTGACTATTTGCATGCAACTTAAAAGCCCAAATTCGTGTCTGTAGCATGGGCGACGCCACCACTAAGACGCTCTACTGCATCCGCCACGGGGAGTCCACATTTAACGAGTGGCGCACACGCAGTCTTTGGAACTTCTCGTGGATGTGGGTACGCGATCCCATGATCGTGGACGCCCCACTGAGCGCCAAGGGCAAGAAGCAGGCGGCCAAACTCCACGAATCGATAGAGGCCGAACACCTCGAGGATAAAATTCAATTGGTACCGACACAAAGACGGAATACAAATTAATACCATGCTAATGCTTAAGGTGTAGATCATCACGAGTCCATTGACTCGAGCAATTGAAACGACCATCGGCGCGTTCCCCGACACGAAGATCCCCATCATAGGTGGAAAACTGCCACAGCTAGTTTTTTTTCTACTCCTTAGTGCAGTACTAACGCAGTTGCTATTTACAGTGGAGTCCTCGTGTCGAGAGATGCTGGACACTGCTTGTGATATCGGCCGCGTACCAGCCGAGCTGGCGCAGCAGTTCCTCCCTCAAGCAGATATTGATTTTTCACAACTAGACCCTTTCTGGTGGTTAGAAATGGAAAAATTCCCACGGACGGGTCCAGGCAATGCACCTCCTGCCAACATTGTGACGCCTAAAACACCGGACGAAGTGCTACCACTACGAGAAGCAAAGGACGAACTGGATGCAAGGATCGGGGCCTTTGTAGCTAAACTGGCGGAGAGACCGGAGCAGCACATCGCTGTAGTGGGCCACTCTTCATTTTTCAAGCGCATGCTGGCGATGAACCGTAAACTACACAACTGCGAGCTGTACGAGACTTCGCTTGGCGACATCCAACTCCGCTACACGTAGGAATACTACAGCCAATTGCATTAAAGCTATCGTTTTTGTTGGTACTACCTATTGTTCTACTTTTCTCTTGGTGGTGCACCAGTCTTGCAGTAGTTTTTAGGCTTGTTTCTTCCTCAAACGACTTAGATGCATCAGTGAAGCAACGAGAACTCCACCGAACCCGAAGATCATTGCTGGCATCATGATGACCATAAAGATGGGCTCACCACCGTGATATTCGCGACTGTAAATGACAGCTTGAAGTGGGAGTCCGAGGATCATACCGAGCCAGAAGGTGATATTTCCCATCCGCGAGCCACGCAAGCCACGTCCGTACACGATGGTAACCAACTGGACCATCTGAAGAGTAAAGAAGTACATTCTGACTGTGCGGAACATGAGGATGAAGACGCATTCGTGGAGTGCAGCAGACATGAAGAAGGTGAACATAGTGGCGTAAGTCTTCGAGATCTTGTACGAGTCCAACGTCTCCAAGTATACATGTCGTAGTAGAAACTCATGCACCGGTTTGTTCCACTTGCGCGCAAACTCGTCGAACGTTGTGCTGTTCCACCAGTCACCATAAAAGTCCCGGTCGGCTGAGTAAGTCACTTCAGCGAAGCCATTGCAGATGCACTCAAAGATGATGAACCATGTGAGCAAGTAGCATCCCAGGAAAGGGAGCAGAAGACTCACGACCGATAGCACAGGGTTCACAGTCCCGGAATCCTCCAGGCGAGGCATCACATGGGTCGTGACGATGATGTATAGCATCGAAATCCCCATGATAACCGAGAAAGTCTTCTCAGCAAGGTAAGCCCAGCGAATCCGACAGGTACGTGGGAAGTTAGGTTCGTACACCAGCGACGGGATCAGTAAATACATAGTAAAGTCCTTGATGTCAGGAATGGGCGGTTTGTTCTCAGTGCGTGAGATCTCCAGCTTGGTGCGGATGTAGGAGTGCATCTTCATCAATAGTACGAGACCTTCAATGAACGCTGACACGGCGTGGATGAGGTTCCAGTCGCGCCAGACGATGAAGACGATTGTGAAGAAGAAGAGCAGACTTTGAAGCGTGTGGTGCACGATGTTGATGAGCAGGCGGTTCGGCTTGTCCGTGCCCGCCATGTACACTGGGATCAGGGCCGTGTAGGCATACAGAGCTTGACACACGAATGTAGCCAATACCTCGAGTAAATGCGTCGAGTAAAACACCGACAGCAGAAGCTTCGAGTCGATGGGTTCGTTCGTCATTAGCAGGTTCGTGAAGAGCGTCGTGAACACGTAGAGCACCCCAGACAGCATCGCCAGGTTGTACAAGCCGCGGAACTCGGAGCTGTGCACACCGGAGCGCGCATCCGCCGGGTCCAACGGGGACACAACGTCACGGAACTTCTTCATGCGCCTCTTGCTCGCTGTGGGCGAGCGCCCGCTGTTTGGAGGTTCCACTCGGGGTCCCATGTTGCTTGCTAGCTCAGCGGTAGATCCGTTGCCAAGCCGGACGATTTTGAGAATGCGCGCGGCTGTTACGTTGCAGACGTTGCCGTCATGTGCGTGTGTACCACACCCGGTGTGGTGAGACCGGTACATGTACATGGGTTGAAGACCTTCACATGTCAACGGCTTCAAGACGACCTTCAAGACTTATCAACGTTACCAGTACCCAGCATAATGTAGTAGGACTGAGTGGCTATTCTCGAGTCGACTGCTCACTTCTGCTCACTTGGAATTCCTCTCGCCCGACAGCATGACTGGTAAGCAAATTCTTTAAAGATTTCGTGCCGGGTCTTGCTGACTGGCCTATTCAGCAGAGCTCAAGCCGTTGCAGCCGCAAGAGCCTGAGAAATGCTCCGATGCGACCAAGTCATGGAAGTGCAAGTCTGAAATCTGCACGGAGCAGGACCCGCGACTACGTAAAATGTGGTCCGAGCCGACGTGGGCAGGCTTCCAACTGCGCTCCAAGACCTACTTGCACAGCAAGATGAAGGAGACCTCTGCTCCACCTCGTACGTTCTTGATTTATAACGTAGAACGAGCTTGATGCTCTTATTGAGTTCCTCAATGTACATGTAGTATTCGAGCTGCTATGGTTTGAGGTATTCAGTGGCACCCCTGAGGAGCTCCACCATGTGAGCAAGTCCAAAAAGAGCTTTGCCAGTAGGGCACTAGCCAAGTATGGCAACGACGTGCCGCCTCTGTTCGTCGTCACTCTAATCGTGCCGGGTACTCCCGTTGTCGCCGGTGTGCAGTACTTTGCACGAACCGTTGACGCCCCACAGTCCGAGGCCAATGCGTTGTGGCAGCGGTTCCTCCAGAGCGACGACAACTTCCGCAAGGAGCGTCTGAAACTCGTGCCTACTGTTCATGATGGACCGTGGCTGGTCAGGAAGAGTGTTGGAGCCAAGCCGCTCATCATCGCTAAAGCATTGGAGACGTCGTTCTACCAGACGCCAGCGTATCTTGAAGTGGTGGTCGATATCTGCTCCGATCGAATCGCCAAGCACGTGACGGCACTCTGCCGATCCCACTCAACTCGACTGACAGTTGATGTAGGGTACGTCATCGAAGGGCGGGATGAAGCTGAGCTACCGGAGGCGCTGCTGGGTTGCATTCAGTATAACCACCTCGACTTGTCCATTTCAAGCGCGATCGAAGACTAATAGCAAGCAATTGCAGGTCTTACTCATGAGGAATTCTTAAGTACAGTATTGTAAAGAACCAGTTGTCGCTCATTTTTTCAGATTGTTAGGAGCACTTACGGAAGCCTTCGCAGAAACCCATTTTTTCACGTTGCAGTCATTTCTGGCGTGAAGTAAAAATACTGGAAGGAAATATTTTCAGAATTTCTAAAACAGAAGCAAGGTATAATTAGTGAGGACGTAGGTTTTCATTTTGTGTCGCACTCAAGTCCATTCTCGAAACCCACGCCTTTGTCGCACCTTCACAAGACGCCAATGAAGGGTAAGCTTGCGTGCCTTTTATCTACTACTGTACTACTGACTTTGACTGTCAATAGAATTCGTAGCTCCCGGCAACTTGAAGCCCACTCCCTACCCAGTCAAGTCATGGAAGTCTCAGGCTGAAAATTGCACAACTCAGGATCCGAAACTTCGGAAGTTGTGGTCGCAGCCGGACTGGATGCAATTTAAGCTGCGATCCAAGACCTATCTTCAAAACAAAATCAAGGAAATTGGCGCCCCTCCTCGTACGTATGCATTGTTGGCATTGTCTGTACTACTTCGTTTCCTGATAATCTTTTGTCCGGCGCAGTGTTTGAACTGGTGTGGTTCGAGTCATTCAAGGGCACACACGATGAGCTGATGCATGTGTGTAGCTCCAAGAAGAGCTTTGCGAGTAAAGCGATCGCCAAATTCGGCAATGACGTGCCCCAGTTATTCGTAGTGACACTTATCATCCCGGGTAGCCCTCTAGTGGCCACAGTGCAGTATTTTGCAAGAACTAAGAGCTCTGGCTCGGAAGACCCGACGGAGGCTGAGAAGCTTTGGGAACGATTTCTGAACAGTGACGACGCCTTCCGGAGCTCACGTTTCAAGCTGATTCCGACCATTGTAGATGGTCCGTGGGTCATTCGGAAGAGTGTTGGAACTACACCCTGCATCATCGGCAAAGCAATCAAGACGACGTACTACAAGTCGCCGAACTATCTCGAAGTGCACGTTGACATCTCGTCCGACACGATCGCGAAACACATCACTTCGCTGTGCCGCTCACAGTCAACCAACTTTACAGTGGACATGGGCTTTGTGATTGAAGGTCAGACCGAGGAAGAGCTTCCTGAGGCATTGCTTGGCTGCGTGCAGTACGCTCGGATGGATTGCCTGTTAGCGACCGCAATTGCGCCATAGATAAAATCCAAAAGTGACATAACATCCACAATAATTTCAACTACTTTCCTAAACATATTTTTGAATTTTACACTAAGCTTAATTAATTTTGTTTGTAAAATTAAAATACATCTAAATAATGGATTTTGCTCATAATGAAATAAAGCATTTCCAATAGTGGCTTGAACAATGTGAGTTGGACCATCGGCCATGGCTACGCTTCACCTCTAACTCCTGTCGGTGCCATCACTACCAGGTCTGCCCGCCAAGCTAAGCGTCTGGCAAAAGAGCGCGAGGCCGAGGCCCATGCCAACGGCGACGAGGACGCAGAGTCGGAGGAAGAAGAACTGGAGGAGAAACGTCCAGCCAACGTGGGTTTTGCGTTTCTAGCGGACTCAGACGACAGCGAGAGCGACGGCGACGAAAGCGAAGAAGAACAAGAAGATGAAGAACAAGTAGAAGAGCCGGTGGTGGCCCCGGAGCCTCTCAAGAGCAAGAAGTGAGGGAGACATTGCGTTTTGTGGTGTCTGCCAATTGAACTGACGTAAAATTGCGTTTGGTGCTGCAGGAAAAACAAGAACAAGAAGAAAGGAGCAGGCAATGACGATGAGGGCGAGACACAGTCAGTGGACGACATTCTTGACGCATTGGCGGCCGAATCGGGCAACTTAAGCGTGGACGAAGCTACGTCCATTCGCAATGAACAGGAGCAGTCGCTTTTCGGTGTGCAACTCAAGTTCGCGAACGCTGATAAGGAGATGAAGCGCATTTTCGGCGTGAGTCGGTCAACGTGATAATTTTTAATTGTGTTTAACCCAAATAATTGTCATTATCTGTATGCAGGTGAAAGAAGGTGGCCCAAGCACCAGCCGGAAGCGTGGAGACCCTCGGTACGGCATCAGAAATGAGTCTTTAAGTCAAGTAATAATACGATCCAAATCATTGTAGCAGTGCAGCCCGAGTGAGCACGAAGAAGGTGATGATGGTGTCCCCCATGGACGAATGGCCACGTCCTCCGACGTTCGTTGGCGGTGGCATCCGCTGGACACGATCTAACAAACCTAAAGGCACTGGCTGGAACAGTTTGTGCAATTATTACGAAATCACGTGGTCGATCGCTTACAAAAAGGTTTGAAACCAGCACTTTTGAGTCGTATTCGAGTGCCCTTCTAACGTAATATTTGTTGCTGTTTCCATTTGCTAGTTGCAAGAAGAATTTGAGCTTCTTCAATGGACGCACGACCCGAATCTCATCGCCCACTTCTTGCAGCGTAATCCGTACCACATCGATGCGTTGCTCACAATGAGTGAAGTGTTCCAACACCACGGTCAGATGGACCACGCTACGGACTGTATCAAGCGGTGCATGTACGTGTTGGAGCTGGCGTGGGCTGACCAGTTCGACGTCTCGAAGGGAAATTGCCGTATGGACATTAAAACGGAGCACAACGCAGGCTTCTTCCGAGCTCTCTTCTTACTGATGAAGCAGGTTGGACGTCGTGGATGCATGCGTAGCGCCTTCGAAACGGCGAAGCTGTTGCTCAGTCTGGACCCTCAAGGCGACCCGATGAACGTGCTGTTGGCGGTCGACTACTACGCGTTGACGTCTCGTCAGTGTCAGTTTTTAATCGACTTGTTCGACTCCAAGACTCCAGCAGTGGATCGATTTGCGAGCGATGAAGCGGAGTCGAAGCAGAAATCGAACTGGAAGAACTCGATGGGGTCAGCGGACAGCATCGTCGCTCTGCCGAATCTTCAGTTCTCGCTAGCACTCGCTTAGTAAGTGAACTATACACAAGATGCTTGATAATACCTAAGAGCTAATTGTTTTTATTTAGTTTTTTCATAGGAAACGAGACCGAGGCCAAGGAGAACTTAGCTATTGCATTGCTCAAGTTCCCGACGATCCTCAAGCCGCTTCTGGAGAAAATCGCCGCCAATCCATCGTCTTGTACGTTGAATGTCCGTATTACTATTGTATTATTGTTTTATGACTTTAATTCTTGCAATGGTCAGCCTCGTGGCAACCAATCTTGTCGAGTCGCGTGTTCGCGAATGCTCGTAGTGTTGATGGTGTGCTCCAACATTTGTTGGACATCTACGTGACCAGGAACCACTCGGTATGGAAGGTGAATGACGCGCAGTCGTTCCTTCTACGTAGTGCGCAACATGCTCTTGCCTCTCCGGCATTGGTGTCTGCAAACGCGCAGGTGCTGGAACTACCCACGTGTTTGCACAAATACATTCGTGCTGTCACTGCAGGTATGGAGATCCACTGTGGAACGCGATACTACGATAGTGTACTAACTGCTGCGTTGCAGACTACTCGGACGAGATCACGACGCTGCCTGCAGACCACCCGATGTTGCAGCCCCCGCAGCTTCAGAATGGCCAGCCGTTGGATGCCGAGGCGCTTGCTGCACTTGCACGGGCCCAGGAGGAGTTCGAAGCGGGCAACTTGCCGGCAGACGCCAACCCGTTACTGCTGTTCCTGCAGACGCTGCTGCCTTGGAATCACGTACAAGGCGCCGGTCAACAGCCACCGCAACCACCACAGTGAGTTTTGCAAGCCGTGCGCGACAAGTTGATGGTGTGGCTTTATTTCCAGGCATAAACAATGAGCCGCATATGCTAACGTGAAAATCACGCAACATAAGGCTTGGCGCTACGCTACGTACGGGTAATACAGGTACTAGAATCGTGGATTTTGTGGCGAAAACGCCGTGAACTTCGTGTTCGACGAAGTGTTGTTGAAGCAGCATCGAGCGTTCAGCCAGCCGAGTATTCAACTACAGTTGAAATAACTCCAACTGGCGGCTTGCTTCGTCATTCACTTCAGTGACACTTGCATCGACCTTTGACATTAAGAAAAAGCTTCATCAGAGATACATGTACACATCTCTTGCGTCGATGTATGAAAAACGATTGGATCTTGGCGTAACAATTATCATCCAGGTTCCTCTTACCAAGTGTGGCCATCCACCTGTATTCGGAACCACCGCCAAGACGCACGACAACTATCTCACAAACTGAGGTTTCTTAAGCTTGGACGCCAGGTGGCCATCTGAATTCCATCTGCTACAATAACAGTGTAGTCGGCGAATCAACAACACCGTAACAGCGATCGATTCGTGCGTAGGACGAAGAAAGAGGAGATATAGTAGTTTCTCTTTATCAACCACAACATTCAAGATAAAAGGAAGTATCGCCCACTTTTCGTGGTAAAAAATCCGCTAACGCGGATTTGCGTTGAAATTAAATCGCTTGAGAGCCTTAACAGGAACTTTTGTCCACAAGAGCATCTTCCAAGCTCGAAAATGGACGTTTCTTTGCTACTCGGGTACTGTTGCGTGGGCCCACGCCCTCCACGAATTCCGGCTGGACCAGGGAGCTCGTATTGATGCACGGTAAAGGAGCTGACTTGACGAAGAAAACACGAGCAGCAAATGGGCCGTAGTATGCTTCCCAGGAGGTGGCATCGGCGAGCGCGGAATTTGGCAGCATAGGTAGATCTGCTGCCAATTCACTCGTGCAATACATGATGAATAGGTCGTCAGGACCTCCAGCCTTAGGTTCCAGTGATTGTCGACAATTGCGTCAATACCTCTCCAGGAAACACACGTCCCCGTTAAATGTTGTCCAATCAACAGAATTCTGCAGTTGGTACAGCATTCGTGCCCCAATCATCTTGCGGGGATCGGAGAAGCCATAATTGTCGGTTGTTCTATTCTCAAAAGTGATCTTAAATGTGTAGGCCTTCCGCTAAAGCAGCTTCATCGCTGGATCTCCTTGTGTCTCATTGCAAAAGATTTACTGCTGCAATACGTTCGGAAATTCGTCAAGCAATCTCGACTTTACGGTTCCGGGGCCATCTTAGCACACAAATAACGATTGACTTTGCTCGTCCGTCTTTCCTTCTTGTTATTGACGATTTATGGCGGATGCAAGATTGCCGAGATTCAAAGAATTCTGGAAATCTCATTTCGCACCAGTCGCTCCGACCAAAGACTTGGCTCCTTCCAAAAAAAATGATTGCTTCGACAGCGCCGGCACAACCACATCTTCGGTTGGAACCACCACCAACACATTCATTGTGAATCTGTAAAGGATTTTGTAAATTCCAACCAAATTTGCCATTTTGTCGGGTGTTAGCTACAAGAAGTCAAGATTTAAAAAGAAAGACGGATCTATTCAATAATGAGTCACTCGCTTACAAATTTCCTTCACGATCGTACTTAAGCGAACGTGGAATGGCAATAACACGAGTTCATTCAAAGAGCCGCGCACGAAAATTTTAAGTATAACGCACAAAACTTAAATTTGAGTAAAGTTCGATGACCATCCAGTCACAGATTGTACAGAGTAAGGACATTAGAAAAACTTTTGCCTTTTACAATTAATTTTGCTCATTTGTAGCATTCGAGTAACTATGTTGTTATTGTTGTAGCTGTTGTAGCGGACAATACATGTAACACTGTATTATAAACAGTATTACGAAGTACTTCAAAGTACAGTACCTGTTTATTATGCATTCGCATTGGCTACCAAGGCGGCTCCAATTGGCTAAAATTACGATGGTTCCCGATGCATGGGGAAGACGTTCTGCGGTGTCGTTGTGAACGGGATTTGTGGTTGTTTAAAACAGTTTTGCCGAGGCAATGGTAGTGAAGCCATGGTTCGAAAAGTCTCAAATACGGTGTTCGTTACTTAAGGCTGTGAATCACAGGTCGTAAGGCCAGTGCTTGGCAACCAAAAAATCTTGTAACTTACTTAAATATGGTACCGAAACAAGTCTTTTTGTTTTAAACATAGCTGAAGTTCAAAAAGCAGGGGCCAAAACTACAGTAATTAGCTCTCGTACTTAGGGATAAATAATAGCTGTCGCGCCCGACGGGATCCCGGCTCCGGTCCCCTTCAGTGCCATCGACCGTTACACGGAACGTCTCAA